GAGAGTGGAACATTTACTGCAAATTATTGTCGTGAAAATAATGTGACAGTTCTTTGTGACGGTGTTATTCAAGCATTGTGCTAAATGATTCGAACAAAATGCAACAGCTAATCCGGGTTGTTGAGGATTGCAGTGCACATACGGAAATGGCGAGAGAATTTCAATTTACAGCTGATACTCATTTTAAACGCCCCTACAGCCCTCCCTCGCACCTGGCGTATGCAGTTCAAAGCAGGCCAACTCGTACGCTAACCATCTTCTCAGGTATCCGAAATTGAGGATATGTTTGGGCTCGTCTATTTTGCTAACACAAATGAAAGAGCGCAAATATGTGGAAGGTAAATGAAAAAAAAACTCATCTGGTAGCAAGATTAATGGTTGGTTCCGCGTTTTCATTAAAATTGATGTAGTGTTTCAAATGTAGTTGAAAAAGCCTTCTGCAACAATGCCCACAGACTTAGTTATTCCCATACATAACGCGTATGCAAGTGAAACATACTGCGTAGCTCAGCCGCAAGCCTTGGGTCGTCCATATAAGCATGCAAATAGATATTAATTGAAAGCGGAGCTCTCTCGTCCGAGAGTTACTCGTGGAGATTAAATTCGTCTGCCTCGATCTCTGCTGGCAACTCCTCCAAATGCGACAAAGACAGATGGGCCACAAGTGCACATCTTTATATGCACAGTGCATTGGTGGTCGCTGTATATTCTGTGTGCCTCTTCCCTTTTGGCACTGGCCGCGGCGCAAGAATGGAAAAAAAAAGTCTAATTTCACCAATGTGTTGCGAGCACTGGGAAGCGAGATTACAGGGTAGTCCCATGTGCGCGTTGCCTTGTGAAAAATGACAACGTTAAGAAAAAAAAGAGCTAGAATTTGGCGTGCGAGTCAACAACGGTAAAGTTTCCTTTCTTGACTTCGCTGGTTGTTTCCACTATAGCTTTCCTCGGAAAATTCACAACGTTTGATTTGGTCCACCAAGCCGTGGTTTTCTGGATTGCGAGAAAACAAAGCACTTTGATCTATTTATCATTATTGAAGCAAACACGACTTCATTTATTCGTTTAAGCCACCTGCTGTAAAATAAAACGTTTAAAATGTGCTTCATACATAATGCATGCTTAAAAAACTTCAACCATTACAGTGAAGTCCGCCAAAGCTGTAGCATATACATGCATGCAGCGCTTGATATGAAAAAAAATTATGAGGAAAGGGACAATTTTATCCGGAGGTTTACGAGCCCGAGCCACAATATAACCATTAGGTATACTGTAGTGGAGTGCTCGGGAAATTTAGACCATTCAGTGTTCCTTAACGCGCACCTATATCGCACAGTATACGGACCTCTAGCGATTCCCCTGCGTCGAAGTGCAACCACCACAGCCGGAATCTACCCCGCAGCTCTCGAGTCAGCAGCCGAGCGCCGTAACAACTGTACTGTCGAGGAGGACTGCAAGCCGAAAGAATAATCTAATTTGGCGAGGTAGCATATGTATTATTTTACTACCAAGCCAATCCTACAACGAGCATATGTGTTCCACGCCATATGTAGTAGAGCATTACATATGCTACGGGGAAGCGGTTTTAACATCTGAAGGTAGGCAAAGCGCATGAGGTTAGCAACAGAAGAATATAACCCGCTTTCAAATATTATGAATCATTTAGGTGAACGTTAGCTCCTCGCCACTTTCATCTAATCGTGTTCTGGTAAGTCGTCTGGATTTATAGCGGTGTTTTTCTTTATCATACACCACTTTCAGACATAACTTGTAGCCTTCCCTTTTAGGTGACGCAAGAAAAAGAAAAAGAAGAAAAAAACAACAAAAAAGCAACTCGGCAACTACAAAACACCTATTGTGCATTGTGACAAATAGGTAGCAAACATTGAAGGAACCACTGAATTCAACTGATCGCTCATAGAGAACTGCCTTTTCAAGTACTACCCACATTGTTTGCACTAGGATGAGAAGCGAAAAAGAATAAACAAAGAATCACTGCAAAAATGTTAAAACAGAAAGACGATTAAGCAAGTGAGTAATAAAAAATGGAACGTCCACGACGCTGAGACAGGCTCCTTGGAGTTTCAGCCCAGTGATTCACTGAACACCGAGACAGTTCGACAAGAAATAAGCTGCTGCACAAAGACACGAAGCGCAAAATAATAAACCGACGGTTTCCAACAGCTTACCGAGCATCTCACGGTTGCAGCCAAGTGACATCTGCCCAAATGTACTCGACGGCAAATTGCAATGCCCAACTCCCTTTCCTTTTACCGTCAACCTACCGCGTCCATCGCTGTGCAGTCCTGTAGCGTGCCACGTAATCTGCTTACCATGGGGGAAGAATTTCAAGAAGAAAAATGAACAGCCGCCTCGGTTAGGAATGAGCCCAAGTAAATGAAAACTAACAAGGAAAACACCCAAGGCGACCATGTGATTTTGTGTATAGTAGCACCAATTTAAACAGCCTAAACGCAATAAAAGAAGAAAATTTAAAAGCTTGTTTTTCTGTTAGACACAACGTTAATGAAAGCTAACACGCAATGACGCCAAGGAAGGTATAGAGTACGTTGTTTGTAGTCTTTTAACTGTATCATAGCAACTACAACATAAGTTAACCGAAAATAAAGTGGACGAGGAAACTACTCGCCGCCGGCCGAGACCGAGCAGCTGCACAAACTAAGCTTTGGCTGCAACTGCTCCGTGAAACAACCGCACTTTCAAACACACTGTACGGCAGTGGTGTGCGGGCTTGCTTTGTCAACCGCATGCAGCGCACTTAACACCGTCGCAACTACATTAGAGCTGGGAGTGTGGTGCCGCCATCTGAAGTTGAATGAAAGCGTAAAGACGCTTTTACTGACAATATTGCGAGCATGAACTTTGCACCGCGTTGTTTTAGTCGAAAAAAAAAATAGGGGGGAGTTCACGAAATAATGACTGTTTCTCGGCACATATTCTGCGTAGTAATTTGGGATGACAGTCCGCATATGTGCTGCTTCGACACATACTAAACTAATCGTGCTTTAGGCCATCATGACAGTTCTTAAGATCATAAAATTGGAGTGTGCGTGTGACTTTTACATGCACGTGTGTAGTGTAGCCCACGGCTGATTTTGTTACGTCTTGTGTCTTCATTCTGTTATATATATATATATATATATATATATATATATATATATATATATATATATATATATATATATATATATATATATATGTATAGTTACGCCACGTGGTTATCTGCAAAACAGTACGCTTGCGTGCGTGTCCTTAAATTCTTGTGCACACGTTCACTCATTCACAGAACCATGTGAATGCCACAGTTTTCGTTCACTCCACTAAGTTGCTTCCTTTATTCATGTGTGGAACCTAAGAAAATGTAGTATTTTGCAGTGTCTTGTTTTTTAAATCGTTGAAATAATTCTAGTGCCCTTTTTGTTTTATTGCGATAGCATTTATATGGACACTCTGAGCAGGATTTTCCCGCCGGCTTCGGCGAGCGCCATCATTCAACGTATATATATATACGCATCTATATATATATGAAAAGGTAAGAAAGAAAAATAATTTAAAGAAAAAGACTCCGGCATGCGGAATCGAACGCCCGACCTCTCGCTTGTGAGATCTTGGTGTCAGCTACTAAGCCGCGAAGGAGCACCTCCTTCAACGTTGAAACGGCAAGCTATTCATATCTACCACTTGCCGCTGGCGATGGCGATCTCGGGAGAGCTATTGTGTTCTCAGCATTACCAGCGAGATGGAGCGATGAGCGCGCATCGTCAGATTGTGACGACGAGGCGACGCGCGCTCATGCACTCATATCCTACGCGTACTTTGACCCACGCATGGGGTGAGGTAGACGCTCACAAGGGCGTGCACTTATCTCGCGGTGGGTAGAATCATATGCCTTGGGCTTTCAGTGGAACAATTCTGTTGTAGTTACCGGGCGCACAAAGTTCGCTACACTCACTGCACTGTCACCGTTTGCTAAAAGGCCGCACTTTTCAGACACAGCGAAGTAGCAACTGAGACACTTACTCGCGTTAATTTGTACCTGTGAGTACCTTTTGTGCATTATTTGTGCGCGAGCAACGCGGGGCACGTTTAGAATTACTCGCCATTATTCGCGTGACATTCCAATTTGTTGCTATCGCATTCACTGCTTTGCCGCAAAGACGAAGCAATGAACGCGATAGCGACAAATTGAAAGGTCACGCGCAGAATGGGAAGCAGATTGAAACGTGTCCCGCGTTTCTCACGCAGAAATGACGCATGATACGTACTGACAGGTACAGATGCACGCGAATAAGCGTCTCAGTTGTTACTTACTTGTGTCTGAAAAGCGCACGCTTTTCGCAAACGAAGACTGCAATTATTGCAGGGAACTTTGTGCGCCCGGTAACTACAACAGAATCGTTTTAGGTAAAGCCCGAAGTCAGCCAAGACGTACGATTCTCCCCACCACGAGAAAAGGGCGCACGAGAGAGCGTCCCCCACCCCTCCTCTAAGCGGGGCAAGTTACGCGTGGAGGACGAGAGCACACGCCGCCGCGCGATGTGGCGACGCGCGCTCATTGCGCCATCTTGCAGGTAATGCTGAAAACGCGATAATACCACCCCCCCCCCCGAGATGCCCGTCAGCAGCGGTAAATGGCAGATATAAATAAGCTGCCATTCGAACGTTGCAGGACGTGCTCCGCGGTGGCTCAGTGGTGAACGCCTCTCACTCACGATGAAGGGTACTCAAGTTCAATTGCGCGCGCCGGAGTCCTTTCCTGGCTTTTTCTCTTTGTTGCATCTTGATATATATATATATACGGTGAGTGACGCCGGCGGCAAAATCCAGCCGAGAGTGTCCTTGTAATTGCTATCGCAATAATAAAAGCAGCAGCAAACGTTTACAGAAGGTGGCTTACAAACGCATAGTCGGTGTCTACGAGTGCTTTCTTCAACATGCACATTCAATCGTCAGGTGAGCGATGTGCAAGCGTGTGTACTCACTGGCCGCGTGATGTGTGCAACAGGAGTGTTACTAAGGTGGAGGCACCGGGACAGAGGCAGTTGTTGGCCAGCAGGGCGTACTTGAACTCGTCTTCACACACCACATGTTCTGCAAGTCAAAACGCGAGCCACACAGGATCACATATAACGCTTTGAAACGATCGACTATAAGGATGGCTTGTCTATCATCTAGACCGGAAAACACAGGGCGACAGATATGAACATGAACTCCGAACATTCGTACTCGTCCGTGCGGAATTTTTTTGTAGCGTTCTGCGTTAAGCCATAGTATATATGCGTACAAAGAGAGTTTCAAGTTATTGCGTGTGCATATTTGTGGGGCGCGTGAGTCTTTTAAAGGTAGTTTTTAGTATATAACAATAGCTTTTCCTCGTCGTAACGGCAAGATATGTGCATCATCGGCACGCCCTGTAATAAGGCAAACTCCAAGAACCTTGCGCAGTTAGTATGGTGTTACATCGTACCTAAAGAAACTGAATTTACAGGATGACACTGGCCCTCTCATCTCTGTGTGTGAAGGACACCAACACCAGCTATTAAATATGCTAAAACCCAGAACACTTGAGCAGAGACGCCGACGCACGTTATAGGTCGAGCGATCTTTTCGCTTTTTATAAATCAACCTATGTGTTCATTTTCATTGAGCAATTTATAAAAAAGAAGTTGTCAATATTTCCTGTGTGTAGATATTTCGGCAGTAAGAAGCTATAAAAATATGCCCTCGATGAATTTGTGAAACTGGCGTTCGATCAAACCTTAACAAGGTTTTCTGTTTTTCAAATGTCTCTGACATTTTTGAAATGCAGAACGCAGCATTTCAGTATCTGATTCCCTCTTGGAAACTACCTGAAGCTTCTCACTCTGCATCAGTGAATTCTGTACAAAATTTTACGCTTCTTTCCCCACATAGTTCACGTTCAAACTACGTTCTCATTATTACGTTATAAAAGCGGGCATACTGAAGCAAGCTATGATATTCAAAAAATTGAACAAATGTGCTCACAATGGTTTGAAAAAATATTTGGGCGAGTATACAAAATGTGGATTTTGGAGAAATTCTACTCAAAGCGATGCATGGCCTCACTTGATTTACAACGAACGAGCGAGTGCGAATGGTTATACTGGCATCTTCTACGCAATCACGCATGATTTATTTATTTGCAGAAGCAGGAAGAACTTGGTGCATTGAGCATAAAGGAGGTGTCATACGAGCGCCGCGCCGCAGTTTGCAGCGACCCATCGCATGAAGAAGGTTAGGCCTACACCACAGCAATAACAACAGAAAAAATTGGCCGCGTATCTGCATATTACACTGCGAATGTCGTCGAAAGACGATAGTCATGGGTCTGGAGAGAGTGAACAAAACTTTTCTTTGATGTTCTGCGCAAGAAAATTGGTAAACGGGATTCTGGAGGCGCTGCGTTAGAGTGCCTCGAGCGTGCAGCGGAGGTGAACGAGCGCATCAGGTCACGTCACAAGTGAGACATAGCGCTATCTGGTAGTTATCTTGAAAAACGAAGCGCGCGGCGTGCGCGCCCGTCCCGGAGGTGATAAGGTGTAGAACGCGAGGTGAGAGGTGGGTGCCACCACCGTGTCATCTTAGCAGAGCATTGCAAACACTTGCCTTTTCGTGCAAGCGTTGCATGGTCAGCGCAGAGTGATAAACACTATGGTCCTTAGAATTACTTAGTTATGTACTTTCTAGTCAAATACACACATACAGAATATATACGTGTTGTTATGGTGCCTCAGATATGCGCAATTATTGCTTTTTAATTGACAAACACACAAGTACGAACACCGAATCTTGAGGAATATTGGTGGGAACGCCGAATCTTGAGGAATATTTGGAATATCGTGTTGTGCCTTTTCGCGTACCGTTAAGGGCGGACAAGCAGACAGACCAAAATTTTTGTGTCGAAGAACCTCAAGAAAGACTATTGTCTTTAACAAAGAGTGACTATGCGTCCTTGAACCACATTGCCCAGGTCTTTCGTGACAGACCTTTTTCTTTGTCATTACGTACTTTCTGCGCACAAACATGATCGATACAGGCAGAAACAAGGACAGAATATGAAACACGAACGATCAGTTGCATGCAGTAAAACGAGTGAGGCATCGGTTGTCGATACGTACCCGCAAAGGCCACGTGCACTTTATTCTCTGGACGGAATATCTGAATGTACTGGGGAACATTTGGTGCAAAGTCGCGTACGGCCCACGACCGCAAGATGGTGTGCTGGTCCTGAAAGAAGCCCATCGGCCCAGAAAGAAAACAAAAAAAAAACGCGGTCACCAACCATAATCCACAAATTCTCGCTCAATCAATCAGTTTATAATCATGTCATAAAAGGATGTTACAGGGAGTAAAAATATACAGACGAGGATCCCAAAGTGCACGACGGCAACGGGACCCTCGACACGACTGCAACGGGACCCTCATTATTATGAGGCTCGCTGTCATTATTATGGCCATTCTTGTAATCAGCTTCATAGTAATAACCACAGACCGCGTCATCGCTCCAGCCTCATGAGCGCTTCGCGCACAGTTCAGATGTCCAGGCCTCAATTATTTTAACAGCTCTCTAAATCGAATGCTTAACTCGTTTCTCGAGTCTCGAGCATATTATATGACGCATATCCATGGTTTGGCTTTCTTCATCCAGTTTTTAGGGAGAAAGAACATTCTCTCGGAGGTTTGCGCACCCACAAATTTTCAGTACTGGAATTGTGCTCGTAGGTTCTCGCGAATCCGAGGCTGAAGACGCCAAAAGAAAGAACGAAATTGGGAAAAAGACAATAGAAAAAAAAGAAAAATGGATCTTACGGCGGCTGCGAGGTCGGCGTAATTTCGGGCTGCCAGCATGAAGCACGCCTCGGCTGCATTCATTCTGCGCGGTGGTAAGCGTTCGTAGGAAACATGAAAAAGAGAGAAAAAAGGAGAGGATTCAGGACACGCCACAAACACTGCTCAAACAAAAAGGCAGTTAAAAAAAATTACGTCGACATTATCTATGCCTTAAGTAGTGCGAGAGGAAAAATAAAATAGAATGGGAACACGTTTATTATTGCTTCCCCACCAACTTCAGAGGACGTGCGAGAGCACAGGCTATCCCTCCCTCAAGAGATTTCAGTCCCTCTCTTCTTTCTATATATATATATATATATATATATATATATATATATATATATATATATATATATATATATATATATAACAAGAGACATTTGTGTCTTGTCTAGCACACAGAACAACCGAAAAGCTAACGAGCCGAAACATTCGCTGTCTTGACATTAAAGTCATCAAAACGTATTCTTTTAAACATTAAAAAAAAGAGCAACCGGCACATGTGCGAAATTCCCCAGAGGTACTAACAACGCTCACTAAGGGAGAAAAAACGGAACCAAAATGAGTTTTGCTGCACTCTCTAATCGTGTAATGATGTAGCAAGCACACTATATATATATATATATATATATATATATATATTATATATATATATATATATATATATATATATATATATATATATATATATATATGGGTTGCCAGATGGATGTCTCATGCCTAGTGGCAGGAATGTTTACTTAAATAGCAGCCTGAAAGTCAGGCACTTCTCATGCATGAATTGCAGCAGAGGCTTATTTATATTAAAATTTACTTTGTGTGGGAACCGAATGCTGTGAACAAAGGCACGTTTTTTGTGGAAACCACCGGCATACCTGGCTCTAGTGAGGTCGGTGTCCTTGAGCGCAGAGCCCTGAATGTAGATGACCCTCTGCGCCCACATCGGTATTTGAAGAATCATCTTCATCGTCGCGTCCACTTCGCACGGTGACAGAAGCACGACGTAATAGTCCTGCGTAGCGTCGGTGAAGGCGAAATGAGCATTAGTGAGCCAGAAAAAGGCTCGAAGTGGTGGATATTGTAGTATAGCAAAACCTTCCATATGCATGAACGTGTACTATGCAACGCTCAGCGGGTGTTGCGAAAAACAATCAGTGTCTAATTGTTGTAAGGAGTTCGCTCTTTTCTCGAATCTACTCTTCAGTTTCCTCCTATTTATATTTTTCACTGTGTGAGCAACCTGGGGTAAGTGTATAATTCGAGCTGTTTTCATTTGGCCCGAGCATTGACAACGTGGTGGTTAGAATTTTCTAGAAGGAAACAAACTGTGCGGCGATGGACTAAGCATCAACATGTTTTTCAAGGTTGACTTCAAACGCACTTTTCTCTAAACGTTAAGACTCGTAATGCCTGATGCATTGAGTATACACTATTTCGCATGTGAGTAGGCGACAATAAAGACAGCGATTATGGTAAGAAGAAAAAAACACCGTATCTAACCTAACAATACAACTCCGAATATAACCTAAACATAGCTAGCCCTATCCGATCAAGCACCGCAGAAGCCTTCAGGTCCTGGAATCGCAAAACATGCGCTAAATATGCTCGCAAAGCAATATTTCAGCTAACACAGATCCTGGACATGCCATTAGTCTAGGATCAGTGTTAGTGACATGCCACGACATGCCAATAGCTTCACGTAAAGCCCTTACGAAAGAAAAAAAAATGTGTGTGGATTGGGCCACTGTAATATAGTTAACACCCACAGGATGTCTCATAGGCACGTAAAGACTTCTGGTAGCCGCGCAGGAGCAAATACACGGTAGAGCGACCATTGTGTCACGTGTAACTCAGCGGTCGCTAGCCACCTATTAGATGGAAGTAGCGGTGAGAGCGCGTGACAGGCAACTACGCAAATGCATGACGAGGTGGCAGCACCTGCAAGAGAGGGTGTGCGTAGAACTCGTTGAGGAAGTCCATGACGGTGTCGGCGCGCAGCGTGGTGGAGCAAACCACCACGTGGCGCTCGCTCTGGGCGCGATGCATGCTGTAGGTGCCGCCCAGTTTCTGACGCTCCATCCAGGTGTAAGCAAGCTGCTCAAACTGCGTCGGCAGCACAATCAGTGCCGCGCATATCATGGCCACCATGAAAAGCTGCGACGGCCAAACGTCTGGCTTGAAGTCGCCGTAGCCCACCGTGGAAAGCGTCACCACCACAAAGTAGAAGCTTTCAAAGAGGTCGACGTGCTCCACGCCGGCCCTTTGAAAGTGCTGGAACCCGCACACGCTGCAACAAATGCGCAAGGTGATATAATAACGCATACATACACGACCTTTCGCTTGTTTTTACAGAGAACAGTCGAATGATTTATTTGACCTGTACTTCGCTATAACGAATTCTTGAGACCTGTTGCCATCTTAGGACATGCGAGTTTGGCACACCAACCCCCATAATAAATTTGAATAGTACAACTGAATGCGGACGGAGAAGAAGAACGAAAAAAAAACAGCAACTAGAAAAATTGCCATGCTCGTGTGCAATGCAAGAAACACCATCTCGTCGAATATAAATAAAAGCTATGTGGCTACTGGTTCCTGCCCCTTTACAAATGGGATGCTAATAATAATGACCTTCATCATCATATCCTCGTAATCTCCGTGAGTAATTTGTAACAGCCACTTCTATCACATTTACAACTATTGGTTCGCAGAATGTAGTGAAGCTAATTGATACAAAGGTAACATCGAAATACTAAACACAGTATCAAATTATTGTACAGATTTTAAATTATACTGGAAACACTGCGCATTTAATCTGTGTTTTCAGCCTTTGGATAGCTGTTAGAGCAAGACGTGTATACGTGGATTAATGGTGGCTGGCCTAAAGGTTAACGTTACCGTATACAGGTGCATGTATTTAGCATGCACATATTCACGTGATTCCAGTTCCGGCATCCGCGCTACAGCTGTAGTGTTGCCACGCACACACTATGACTGAAACGATTGCGTATCGTAAAGCTTCACCGATATTGCGGCACCATTTTTCCGCCTGCATACGCTTAGTATACTTCAAGTGTAATTTAAAAATTTCAAAAAAGCTACGTCGTACGAAACGAAAAGTGAATTAGCATCTGGAAGCTACGCATTGGGATATAAGTGACGTTAGAATAGAATTCTGTCTACAATAGGGGCTCTTTAAAATGCATTATATGCAAGGTCTCCTGCGTACTTTTGCTTTCCTCACAAGCTGAAATCGGGGTGCCGTGGCGGTAAAATTAAGAAAGCGCCGCTGGAAAAAATTAATGATCTCGCTGGGGCTCATTCCGTGTCGTTTTTCACAGACTGTATTTGTGAGCAAACTGTCGTCATAACGCCCGCGCCACATTTTAACCACTTTGGATATGTTTGTAGGAATATGGCGGTTATCTTCCGTAGAGGGTCACAGAGCTTTTAAGCGAAACCAGACTGGCTTCGCAAGACAATCGCTGCTGTAAACCTTATAGAGTATATATACACACTGGTATAGTGCGCACATATAATCTAAATATGGCGCCAATTTATTGAGATGGTGAACCAGCAAACTCTCAGTAGGTCGGTGCTGTTCTACCACGAGGCTTACATACTGATAGGAAGAGTGCGCTATTACATATACGACTTGCATGCTGGGGGTTTACTCGCGCTCAATCCATTCACTCACCTGGTGAATATGAGGCAGAGTAAAGTGGCGGTGAGGATGAGCAGCCGCTGTGATAGTGCGGACTGGGACTTCTGAAGTGCTCGGTGCAAATCGTTCTGGAAAGACGAGTGGCAGAACTTCGTCACTTGTACACGATAACGCGTCACGAGGAGCTATTCTGCCGTATATACTGTGTACGCCGGTGTGTGGAGATGCGGCGGCCTTGTACAATAACCACAGCCTACGCGGGAACGGCGTGAAGCTGTAACCTCAAGCGTTACTACACGTTAGACACGATCACGTTTAACTCCGTATTCCATGTCCATCTGCAGAGTAGCGTATCATTAAAAAACAGCAATAAACATCACTGGAGCTCAGAGAGAGTGTCGTCTTGTCACACGTCAGCATTTTCACAAGAAAAAAAAAATGTTATAGGGCAAACGTTAAGGTGCACGGTCTTCAGGCTAACGTGTTGGCCGATAAAGTTAGCGAAAGAGCAGCGTGGTCTTGAGAATGCACTATTGACTCGTTTACACTATTTTCAAAGTTACACCTGGTTAGGGAGGGGTCTAGCGGCGGTTTCTGATGGTTTTTAGTGAACCAGTTTCATGCCAGTTGTCTCTAGGATTGAGTTTAGTTTGCGTAATCGTTCCTGCCATGGTTCCTATTCATACATGCGTGCATGTTTGACGAGACATACCAAAGTGGAAACAAGAAATTTTGTATACTTACAAACATGTTTTCGAGTACAAACTTCGCAAGCCAACAGTTAAGAAACACTGGTATAAATACATTCCGTAAAGGTGCATAAAATATCTGTAAGAGAACAACAAAAAGAATGGTCAACTGTTTACGAACAAGTAACAGACATTGGTTTCTGGCACTGACGATAAGAAGACGTCGCTCTGTGAATGCCCAATGCCCAGATAACATTACATATGAGTGCCACCTAACCTCAGCAAAACTGTTTGTTTAATTTTCCCATTAAAAAAATCACCATCTAACTAGTAGAAGAAAGTTACGCTGATGAAAGAGCATGAAAAATGGTCGAACACTTTATACGCCTCATATATTGTACCAAATTATTACTTTTTTGTGCCAGTATTGTGCAAGTTTTATACTTGTACCAGATAAATCTGTTTTACCTTGAAGCTTGACAATAGCTAGAAAACCCTAAATAGACACAGTCAGAATTGACACAGGACTAGTGCTGTTAACTTTGACAGAAATATTCAGACATAACAAGGCTCAGACATAACACATAGTCGTAATGAAGAAGACTCAAACGCGTACAAATGCAATGCTGCTGTATATACCAGCATATATAAGAGGGAAGTGCTGCGAAGGAGGAACGAAGCTAATTGAAACGATCAGTGAGGGAAGATAAAATTTTGTTCATGCGTATTTCTTTGTGCAAATGAATAAAACGACAACGGAAGAAACGATAACTTTAAAGACAGTGTGGTCTCGTGCACGTTAACTTATGGACCTGAGCATAAGTATTTATTTGACAGAGCCCGAAACTATTAGCTAGCGCTTCTCCTAACCATCGCCAACTGGTGCTCAGACATCCTACTATATTAAACACACCCTGTAGATTACCATAGCAATTTCAGGCACACGCATTGAGAATAACGGGAAAATGTAAGAGCGAAGAAAGGATAAGCCACGGTACAAGAATACTTTATGTAAGCAAACGCTGCGAAGGCAGCGCTTCGCGGAAAGGGACCGATTATGTTTTCGTTTACAGCATGCCGATAGATGGCTCGCCGGACTGAGGACCGTGGTGGGCTGCTGACGAATTCCGCAAAGCATATCCGGCACGTGAGAGACAGTTTCCAAATCTGAGAAAACCGGGTTATCGCGCGATAACAACCACGCGACACGCATAAAGTGATGCCGCGAAAGAGGGGGTGATAAGGGAGGAGGTTGACAGTGCGGCGATGGCGTTGTGGAGACGACAAATGAGCGCCGCTACTCTCCTACGTAGGGGGCTTTCCTACGCCGAGAAGGAGACGGGGAGGGGGAGCAGGGGCAAAGTTTGTAGTGCCATCTCTCGGGTTCCTTGCGAAGCAGAACATTATCGGGCACCGGATAGTCCCGGCCACGGTGCAAGAATAGTTTAGGTGAGCGAACGCCTGGACTATCACCCCCTCATGACCCCTCTCTTATCACCCCTGCTTTCGCGGCGTCACTTTGTGCGTGTCACGTGGTTGTTATCGCGCAATAACTCCGTTTTCTCAGATGTGGAAACCGTAGCTCACGTGCCGGATGTGCTTTGCGGAATTCGCCAGCAGCCCGCCATGGTCCTCAGTCCGGCGAGCCATCTATCGGCATGCCGCAAACGAGAACATAATCGGTCCCTCCGCGCCAGGCGCCCGCTTCGCGGCGTTCGCTCATCTAAAATATTTTTGCACCGTGGTCCCGGCGTTCGCTCGACTAAAGTGTTCTTGCATCATGGGATAAGCAGAACTGCGGCTCTTAGAGTGAACCGGAGAAGCAGTACCTCCATTGCCTAACAATGTACACCCTACAAATAAAACTAAAATAACAGCAAATAGCGAGTTTGTTTGTTTCTTCGTGCTTTGTGCGAGGCTAGAATCCACTACGGGATATCGGTCAAGAAGCCGCGGCGAATGAGAATGCGGGCATTTCATGCCACAGTGTAGGTTTGTTTGTAGCCTGGGTACTGTGGCAGATACGCACTCTGGGGCATTCAACAAGAAAACATGCATTAGCCTGTGGATGGTAACTCCATTATTGCTTATAAACAATAAATATTGTAAAAAAGAAAGCATTACAAAAATAAAGAGCGAAAAGTTACACAAAAAAAAGAGGAAATAGGCGCTCATACAATAACCATAACTTTATTCTTTTATGTGACCAGACAGCCATGTTTCATCGAAAAAAGTCTGGTTCATCTAGACCGAGGTTGTCGGACACGAATCGATCTGCTGTCTGTAGGTGCTGAAATATCATGTATTACATAATGCGCGCATAATGTATTGTATTACGAGGAAGCTATGCATCACAATCTTGGATCTTACGTAACAGCCAGGAAAATTAGCAATATATGAATGAACTAAATACTCGCTCTAGTAGGTGTGCGTCTATAAGTGCATCTCTGTGCGTTCGTGTGTTTCGTACGTCATCTGCATAGTTTGGAATACACAGGCGTATATAAGCACAACACGTGTAACCAGCGTGCTAACCTACCCACAAAGAATGCTTTGCAGACAAGTACCTAAGGAAGCACCTCGTTTTAGTTATTTTTTGGCCGCTTCGAAACAATTAGCCACGATGTAACTCAAACGTGCATTATAAGTCTCTCTTGGCAGAACAAGTAAGTTTTTGTCCCCATTTTCACTACATAGTTCGAAGTGAAAAAGAAAACGACAAAGGAAAGATAGGAGGTTAAATAACTGAGACTCATTGGGTACCAAGCATTAGAAAAAAAAGAACAAATATTTAAGGGAATTCTCAAGGTAGTGAAAATACTACTTGCTATGCAGAATGAATTTCAGAGGTATACTGCTCTTAACATGCACAGTTACGCTACCACCTACAACAGAATAGAACATACACAAAAGTAAATATAATTTACATCTTAAAATATGTCAAATGGGCGCCCGTAAAACCTTTCATTAATTACATATGTTTATAGAGGCATAGGCTCCGTAAATGCATAATGTGCACCTCAAGAAATTCATAGAAGTATTAGTAAGCCTATGTACTACCACATAAATTCGTCGTATCTCCTTTGTCTTCCTTCAAGCATGCAAAGATTGCAATGCCTTTAAAGGGCACAGGCCAGACGCGTTAGACAAAGGAGACTACTACTTTATATGGACAAAAGTTTTATCAATGAGCATTTTTCTGCATTGGCGTCTCTCATAATCATATGGTGGTTTTGGGACGTTAAACCCCACAAATCAATCAATCATTTTTCTGCATTGTAAAGTCAAATCTTTCCGACTCAGTTCACCATCATATATAGCGTTAGGGCCAAAACAGAATTGCATTCAACTTACGCTGCGTTAGCCCACACAAAGTACGCGCATTCGGTCGGCTCTAGATGAAGCATGATGAGAAAAATGGCTTCTTTCTCCATTAGAATTTTTTGAGTAGCCGAGTGACCCAGTTGTGTTTCAAGATATACAGACTTGTCACAAAAGTTGGTCATTAAATCGGACAGGCTAATAGCTAAAAATGACTTATCTGGAACAAAATTCACAAGCAGCTGTTACAGTGGAATGGTTCTAAAACACAGCCAATCATGATGCTGGCCACATTATTAAAGATAGCGACCAGCCAATGAACAAGAACACTCAAGAAAGAATGGCTAGGTGAAGTGTGCCTGTGTACCAGTATTGTTTAGCGATGACTCTTCCGATGCTAATGACTTTTCATGAGTTTCGTTCTTGGCCAGTCCGGCCACATTGTGAAATAGATCAGGTAGCTATGAGTGGTGGACAAAGGAACCCAGATTATTGAAACGCTATGCAATATCGGCAGTGAAAACACTAAAAACTGTAAGCAATATCTGCGTATCACCTCGCCAAGTTTGCGTCACTTGAACGGCAAGGCAAGCGATGCCTGCTAAGTGTTGCACGGGGAATCCTACTCTTGGGCAAAACAACAAAGGAGGCAGTGAGAAAAAAGTGCGCAATTACTCACAGTGACTATAAATGGTACATTGTTAACGATCTCCAGAAGGAAGCGGAAAGACAGCAGTTGTCTCCAAATATTTCCCTGAAAAAGGAAAAGAAAACAAAAGCGATGAGAACTCACGAAGTTGGAAGAGTCGTTTATGAACGAATGAACGTAGAAGACAGTTACAGGCACACAATTCGCATTGTCATACGGAAATGACTCACAATGAGTATTCTGCATCACAGTAGGTTATACTGGGTCACACAGGCGCATCAATACACAAGGCTTGAACAGCAGATACATATACTAACAGTTTTCATGAAAGACACGCCTTTGAAGTGGTTGTGATCGAGGGTGGTTTTGCACCGAAAATTGAGAACGTGTGGTCTTGAACTACGCCAAAGAAAGAACAACATTAATGTGTAAACTAGAGAGTATGTATACGCGCAATGATAAACACGAAAGCTACTTCTACTGTGACCTTCAATTCATCTGTATTGAAACCCAAACATAACCTTAAAAAGGCTTTTTTAATTGGCACAGAACTGGGAACCCGCTTGTGATAAGCAGTTAGGCGAGAAGTTATAATTCGAAGTGCGGACCAAACTTTCTCATCAGAAAAGTGTGTTCGTGAATTTTTCAGCGAAAAGTGAGCATTTGTAGCGAACTTTCTGAGATGTTTCCTCCATTTGTTTCACTTTCCAGTCCATATTATTATTTTAGCTACGTTATTTTTATTTATGTATTTGCTCATTCACTGGACAGCCCTGATAAATTGAGTAGCCGAGGTGATTTTAATCATAACGTCCACAAAGCGATTCATTTATGACAGAATATAACACAACACGTTCACGTTTGACCACAAGAGCGAGAATCGGTATTGTAAAGGAGCGCTATTTGCAACGCAGTCAAACAGCAATGTTCCTAGTTTGAGGCCACAAGCTCTGGCATTAGTTCTTCACTCGACTCCGTGACATAAACCTACTACGTGGCATTCGATCTATTAATACACTCACAAGGGAATATGAAAAGTTATTTACAACTTTTACACCACTGTTAGCGCTTATTCTGCTAACGTGTTCCATGCTGCACGCTTTTTTTTTATACTAAAGGGCGAACACTTTAGGTGAAAGCCTGATTGCTGTGCTGCAGATATCACCTGTCAAAACGTTCATTTTTCTTTAAGAGCTTGAGTCCAGTAAAAGTCGATGTCACATTTTCTTGAGTAATTGATGCCTAGCATGTTATGGTTCATTGTTCTGCGCTGCATCGATACGATCTGTTTATCTAGTTCACCCTCGCTTCACTGTAAGAGGACATTGTTACTGCTGACTAAAGTATCAGAACACGCCGGAGAAGAGAACTTGCAAGGTCGCCCAATCTAAAATGAGCACCTTATTAGTATTTGAACCGGCAAAACTCCGTAATGTGACGGATAATGTTCGTTATTTGACGTCTAATAATGTTGTTTATAGACATGGTGATTCTCTCAATGACCTATTAAACGTGATATTTTATTAGGTACTGAATTCTAATGAAGCGTTCAGTTGAAGTGTGATCTACCCTGTACACCAGATGAATCTTGACGCCTTTGTAGATCAGGGACTCAAAGAAGTTGTTGCTGAGGGTGTTTTTCCATCTAAGCCCCATCGTGGTGGTCTAGTGGCTAAGGTACTCAGCTGCTAACCCGTAGGTCACGGGATCGAATCCAGGCTGCGGCGGCTGCATTTCCGATGGAGGCGAAAATGTTGTATGCCCGTGTGCTCAGATTTGGGTGCACGTTAAAGAATCCCAAGTGGTCGAAATTTCCGGAGCCCTCCACTGCGGCATCTCTCATAATCATATGGTGGTTTGGGAACGTTAAACCCCACAAAATCAATCAATCAATGTCTTTCCATCTAAAGTTGTTTTGCATTCCAAGTGGTTTTCCGTTATGTTAAAACAAGCCACAGTTCAAGGGAAGACGGAAGCTCGAAGTGAAAAAAAAAAAAAAAAACCTGGGAGCATGGAGTGTCTCTGTAGCCAACGTTCCGACAAGTGACCTTGACTTCTTTGTAGCTCCGACTCATCAGTTGCTCAGCATTATCAGTTGCTTATTTTTAAAACAACTAGACCACTCGTCGAAATGTTGGTTGCAGACGCACTCATGGTTCGAGTATTTCTCATCTCTTCTATTATGTTGTGGGATAGCTCAGGTGACATAATATAATAACAACTGCGAGTGTTTAACGTCCCAAAACCTCCGTGTAATTATGAGAGAACGTCGTACTGGAGGACTCAGGAAATTTCGGCCAGCTAAGATTTTTTCGCATGTGCCTAAACCTTAGTAAACGGGCGTCAAGCATTTTCACATCTATAGAAAATGTGGCCGCCACCGACGGGATTTGATACCACAACCTGCGGTATCGGGAAATACCACAGGCCGTGGTAGATGAGCCAGCAGATGACCCCGAGCCAAATGATTAAGATAGGCGAAAAAAAAAAAGTGAAGCACATCTAGAAAGCCGTAGTAGCTGTGCTTCGTCTTTATCGCTGTATGACGCTCATGGCATATCTCAGCTTCTGCGTTACTTTTTATAACCCCATTTTTACAAAACGAATATCCTCATCCTCAAGAACTTTGCAGGTCTTTCCGTTGAGGCTACTTGGGTACCGTGCCTCGCTACCTGTATAAAGATGCAACGCCCATCAGTGCAACAACATCCGCACACGACACTAAATAGTCTGCTTTATAAAGCATGGCTATAGTCCAGACCCTGCTCTCGTCTGAGTTTTCATGTAATCATCACCACCATCATCATCATCATGATCATCATAATCAAATAGTCATGTTGTATGTAAGCAGAGACGTTAGAAGAAGTTGAACAGTGGAACTGTTTGGGCCTGCCATAAAAATGTGATGTCCGCAGAAAAACACAAGTTTATATGCACCACAGAAATTGAGGAAGCCCCACTACCCAGTACAGCAGGTGCGGGCGTTAAACAAAAACTCTGTTTTGTGAAGTGCAGCACGTAAAAGAGAGCGAAAAAGAGATAAATAAGAAGCAAGAGAAAATAGAGAGAAATAAAGGAAATAAATATATATCAAGATAGCAAGACGGTGATATACAAAAATAAAGAGAACAAAACACACACAAAAAGTAAGACTGAAAGACGATAGTCTTGCGTGTGGAGAGAGTCAACAAAATGTTTGCTTCATGTTCTGCGAGAGAAAATCGGTGAATTGTATTCCGGAGGCGCTGCGCTAGGGAATTTCGATCCGTGCAGCGAAGGCGAACAAATGCATCGAGGCACGTTAGACACGAGCGCTATCTGGCAGTTATCTTCGAGAACGAGGGAAGGCGTACGCACCCGTCTTGGAGGCGATAAGGTGTAGAACGCAAAGCGACGGCCAAGTGCCACCACCATGTCGTCTTAGCAAAGCGTTGGATGCACTTGCCTTTTTGTGCATAGCGTTCCATTGTCAGCGCAGCATGATAAACGCTACGGTCCTTAGAATTACTTATGTATGCTTTCTCTAGCATGAAGCCACACAGCATATTGACGTGTTGTCATGGTGCCTCAGATATGCGCAATAATTGCTTTTAAAGACGTTGGTTTTTTTGGGGGTACTTCGACGCAGAAATTTTGGTCTGTCTGCCTGTTCTGTCGGTCTGTACATTTGTCTGTTTGCCAGCCGAAAAAATACCCTAAATGGCACCAGACGACACCTCACATGGCCAACCCCATTCGCAGCACCCCCCAATATTGCTCAAGTTGCAGCGTTCATACTCGTGTGATTGTCAAGTAAAAAGCAACTATTGCGAACATCTGAGGCACCGTAACAACACGTCAACATTTTGTATGCTTGTCTTTATACTAGAGAAGGCTTACATATGCAATTCTAAGGACCATAGCGTTTATCACGCTGCGCTGACAATGCAACGCGATGCTCAAAAACGCAAGTGTTTCCAATGCTTTGCTAAGACGTCACGGACGTGGCACCTGTCCATCGCTTTGAGGTCTTCACCATATCGCCTCCAAGACGGGCGCGCACGCCTTCCTTCGTTTTCGAAGATAACTGCCAGATAGCACTCGTGTCTAACGCGTCTTGATGCGTTCGTTCGCCTTCGCTGCACGGATCAAGACTCCCTAACGCAGCGCCTCGCCTCCAGAATACAATTCACCGATTTTCTCGTGCAGAACATCAAATAAACGTTTCGTTCACTTTCTCCAGACGCAAGGCTATTGTCTTTCGACGACATTTGCAGTGAAACATGCAGATACGGGGCCAATTGTTTTGCAGCGTTAGCTACACTGGCCTCGCTGAGCCAATTTTGCGGGGCACTGGTCTGCGCATGCGCAATGATACTCCGCCGCCGCCGCGCGCGGCTCGCTGCCGGTGTGCGTGCAATTCGATGCGCTGCGCAGACGATCAGCGGTGTCACGCACCGGAGCCGGCACCTCCCTCGCACTCGGCTGCGGCCGCGCGTGACTCGCAGCTGGCGATGTGCGCTTTCCAGAGGAGTGCCGTCATAGCCTTGGTAGACATATGGACGCCGACGCGAGCACCTTCCCTGTGCAGTCGCCATTTGACACTGCGCTGGAGCCGCTTGAGAGTGCCTCTGACTGGCGTTTGCCACTGTTTTTTAATTGACAATCGCACAACTATGAACGCTGAAACTCGAGCAATATTGGTGGGCGCTGCGGACGGGGTTGGCCGTTTTGAGTATCGTTTGGAGCCATTAGGGGTCTCCCTACGGTGGACAAACACACAAATGTACAGACAGAAAAAGAGAAAGATCAAAATTATTGCATCGAAGTTCCCCGAAAAAGACTATCGTCTTTAAAAAAACTGCGCGAATTTATTTATCACGCGTGGTTAAACCCTCGGCACCTTCGCTTATCAGCCGCGCCCACCAACGGAGACAGTCCGCGCCGATTCCGCTGCGACCTGCCCACCGTGCGAGCCGAGGAGGAGTAGTTCAACTCTAGTTTGTCTAAGCCAAAGAAAGACCAACCTTCAGCCAAAGCGAAGGCAGTGTTAAACCTCAAGATGAACCAGCTTCGTTGTTGCTTAAGCTTTACGAAGCTGGTGCAAACTTCTATTCCCCCCCCCC